TTTATTACTCCCACAGTTCTTACTACTTTTTTTGAAGAGAATAAAACAAAATGTGACATAACAAAACAGAGTCAGTCAAATCAAAAGGATGGACATAATATATAATGTAAAAACAAAATACAAGGTGATCAACAATGGTTACCATAATGCCTCTTGCTATCTTAAAAAGAATTGCCTATATCATCAGTTATAATAAAATTGAACAAAACAGTAAAGAACAAAACCAATAAAACCAAAACATTGGAGACATTACAGGACTTCAAAAGAAGATAACAGTCAACCAGAATGGGCATCATAATGAATCTTACTGTCTTCACAGTTGTTACCTACACTTTAACTTGGTACTATCAAGCAAAACAGAATAGAGGAAAATCAGTCAAAACAAGATGGTGAGAGCAATCAGGGTTTCAAATCAAGTTAATAGGAAATCAAAGTGGGTTACTATAATGTATCCGGCTATTTTTTATTTATTTTTCCCTTAATTAAAAAGATTAAAAATAAAAAAGTAAATAATAAAAAAAGGAGATTGAGATTAAAGAGGGCATAACAACAAAACAGTGCAGGTCAAAACATAACCATTTAAGCAAAATAGTGTTTCACCACAAGATAGCCCGACATAAAAGTAGTTACCATAGTGTCTCTTTCCTTGAAATCTTTGAGTATAACTTCGTGTACTGCAGCATCAAACATATCAAGACAATGTAAAACCATTCAAGAGAATGACAGGATTACAGGGTATTTAGAATCAACTAACAGAAAATGAACAATGGTTTCTGTATAATCTTGTCTATAAAAGTTTTTGTTTATATTATCACATATAATAAAATACAACATGTTAAGACTGATGGAGACAGAAGAGAAAAAGCTGGATGGGACTTCAAAACAAGATGATATTAAATCAGCACTAGCTATTAAGATGCCTTGTTTTCTCCAAAATAGCTGTTCATACCATCCAGCCTTCTCTGCCTCATTTCTGTTGAGCTCTTTTTCTGTCATTAGTTGTCAGTTTGTCTTCTTCATTTTGCTTTCTGCTCCATTCATTGTGGCCTCTCTGCCACTGTTTCTGGGATCTTGGTATTTTTTAGAACATCCTGCAGTATTCTCTGTAGGCTTGAATTGGTGGTTGCAAATTCCCCTAGTTCCTCTTTATCCTGGAAGCACTTTGTTTTTCCATCAATTTCTAGGGACAGTTGTGCAGGATATATCAATCTTGGCTGGAGGTTATTATCTTTCAAAGCTTGAATTATTTCCCCCCACACTCTTCATGATTTGATGGTTTGTGCCGAGAAGTCTGCTGTAATTCTGATGGGTATTCCCTTGTAAGTTATCTGTTTCTTGTTTCTGATGGCTTTTAATATTCTGTTCTTATATTGGATTTCTGAAACTTTGATTATTATATGCCTGGGTGTAGCTCTGTTTGGGTTGTAGGTGGTTGGGGTTCTGTATGCCTCATACATCTGAGTATCTTTACCTTTTGCTAAATTAGGGAAATTCTCCTGGATTATTTCTGTGAATAGCCTTTGTAGTTCATTTGTTTATGTCCCTACTTTTTCTTTTACGTTCTTAATTCTTAAGTTATAGATCCTCTTATCATCTTCTAGCCTTTGTATTATTGCTGTTTGTTTCCTTGTTAGTTTTAAGAAGTTTTTTATTTCATGCTCCCACTTTACAAATCTGTCCTCCAGTTCAGCCAATCTATCCTTAGTTTCTTTCAAACAGTTATGCCAGCTTTCGATAGAGCTTTTAGTTTCCTGGTAATCTCTTTGAACCTGCTTTATGTATTCTATGTTTTCTCTATTTTCTCCATCAAACAATTTTCCCCTTTTTTTCTGTTCTTCCATTCCACCGTCTGTTTTTTCTTGGGCGGTGCTTAGCATTTCTCTAACTATTCTACTCATATCTTACCTTACTTCATTAAATACTTCACTTTTGAACTCGTCTATGAGGCTCCAGAGATACTGCTTTATGTCTACTGGTGCCGTGTCTGATCTTGCATGTTTTCTGTCCTCATTCTCCTTTGCATTTACCTTTCCTGGATCAGTGTTCTCAGGATTGGGGACTGAGGTCCCTTTCTTGTTGCTCTCTCTTCCCATATTTTTTGTTCCTTCCATACAAGCATATATAGGAGGCCCAGTTTCTTTCTTTGTAGGTTACAGTTTGTTTGAATCCACCAGCTAGGTGTTCCCACCCACTGCAGTGTACTAGGGAGACACAGACCTGGGCAGCCTCTGCTGGGCCTGCCTACTGAAGGCTACCTACTGAAGGTCAACCTACTGAAGGCTTTTTTGCTAGGGTGCATCACCAGGCGCTGGGACCTGGTTTGGGCTAACCTACTGGGTCTTAGTCCGCAGTGTCACCCAGGCCAAGCACTCCCCACCAGTCCTGCTTGAGAGGGGAATATGTGACTAAAGTCACTGCAGCATCCTGTTCTGGCTACTCTGCCCAGTCCCAGAATGTCCTCTGTTGGAGCCTCCTACTCTATGGAAGGGTCCCCATTCCTTTCACTCACTGCAGGTCGATGCAGGGCTCCCCGCCAGTCCTGCTCTCAACTCCTAATCTCAGAGCTTTTGCATCTCTGTCCCTGCTTTGCTGATTCAGGTGCAGCAGCGGCAGCAGGAAATTCAAGCCGCGGTTTCCAGAGGTGCAGGTTCCAGCTTCAGTGCTGAGATTTTATCTGTTCCTGTTATAGCACCTGGATTGCATTTCCAGTTGGTTTCTCTCAGCTTAGTTCATTCCTCGGTCGGCAAGATATATCTCCCCTTGCTTAGGACTCCTCACACCGCACCATTCCTGGATTCTAAGCTGGCTATCTCAGAGAGCCTCCATAGCTGCTGTTATCTATCTGCCATGTTCTCCCGGAAGTCTCCTAGTGCAGGTTTTATTCGCTGTGATCAGCAGCTGTGAACTCATTTAACAACTTGTGTCATTAGTTGGCTCTGGATAATTAATCTTATTTTATTTTTCTGTCCTCCATTCTCTCTGTTCTCTACATGTGAAATTCTTATTAGATAGCTTCTGAGTGGTTTGATTATTTGAGCAATCATTTATTTTCAGCTGTGATGGCCTAGGTTCACCCACTCTGCTGAGTTCTGTATTTTAATCATCACACTTTAAATTTCTTTTTTTTTTTTTAAAGCAGTGGCAAAGTTTATTCGAGGAAGTAGAAGTGAAGATTGGGAGAGAAACTGGCTTTGCAGAGTGATCTTGGCTCAAATAAAGAGAAAAAGAAGAATCCATGCTGCATCTGGGAAACAGCGTGGGCTGTCACAGAAAGTTATGGTAGCCCATACTTTTAATTTGTAGAACTCTAATTGATCTTTTAAAAAAATCCATGTCCCTCAACAGCAGCTGTAAGTTCATCAGGTTTTGTTTTATCTGTGACAGCAAAATACTTCATTTAAATAAATCTCTTTATTACCATTAGGCTTCTGGATTTTTGAGATCTATATGCTTGGATTCAAACAACTGAAGATTAAATATATTTGGAAAAAATTACAGCAGAACTGAATATGTACCCACCTTTTCTTGTTATTATTCCCTAAACAATGCAGTGTAATAGCTGTTTACATAGAATTTACATTGGGTGAGGCATATTGTAAGCTACCCAGAGATCATTTAATGTATATGGGTGGGAAGGTATAGGTTATATCCTATACTGTGCCATTTTATGCAAAGAACCTGAACACTGATAGAGTTTGGTTTCCACAGGGGCTCTGGAATCAATCTAGAGGGCACTGAGGGAAGATTGTTTTACTCAATATTTCAAAAACCCTGAAAATTATGCATTCGTAGATGACCTTAACCTTGGTTACATGCAGCAAGATCGGCAGAAAGTGACAAAACCAGAGGTGATACTGGTTTTTTTAATTCTTCAAGGGCAATGTTACCAATCTTTTGTTTCATTTTTGTCTCATTTTAAAACGAGAAGCACAAGACTTACTCTGTCTCCCAAAGAGAGACAAATAAGCTAAGTAGACTTTTGTTTTAAAAACACTTGCAGAACTCTGCCACTGCAGTTATGACTTGTCACCCAGCTCTGTCAGTGAGCCTAAATTTAGATTGTTCCTTGTTATGAAACTAGGACATTCCATTTTTGCTCAAAAAGGAATATGACACAGAAGCCAATCCAGCTGCTTTTAATTCATAAAACACTTCAATTTAGCCAAGGAAATAAAGACGTTAATTGCAGCAGTATTCATAGTTGTACTTACTGGAAACAACCCCAATGGTCAGAAGAGAGAAGACAATACGGCATGATGCATTCAATCAGAGAATATTATACAGACATTAAAAAGGACATCAATGAAAACTCTTGGGAAGATGAGAAGCAGGAAGTTTAAAGGAAAACTAGGATATAAAATTGTGTGTGTTACAATTATGCATATGTAAAACACACCTGAAAATGAGAAAATATAAAATATGTTATTTGTGTAAGTGGATCCTGATACTCCTTATGGGGGGTTTCTTTGCTTTTTAGAACCAAAGATTTGTAATGTGAGGTCACCTTTTTAGTGTGGTTTAGGGAAATTTTTAACAGAGCACGGGTGTGTGACATATAACTCAGTAGATGGAGGTGGGAGCCCTGAGTCCGGGTCATGCTCTGCCTAGACTTGGAACAACCTCAAGCACCAGAGCATCAGTGTCCTCAAGGGACCTGGTTTCTTTTTCCTGCTTCAAAGATCATTTCCTACCTACTCTGAATACTTCCAGAAAACTTCCAAATTTCTGGTCTGGCACTATTATGGATTTATTATATATAAAACATTTTGTCTTTTTATGGGACTTAGAATCATAGGAGCAGGATGCTCAGTGGAGGGTCCATGACCAAGATTGTGGGACATGAGGGGGTGCACGAGAATTGGTATCTGGCATGATGATATTGTCAGCCGGGCAGCAGACTCTCTGTGTCACTGTCTGGTAGAAGGGGACACCTGGGGAGGTGCCCGTAGGCTTCAGTCAAGCAGTCCAGATGGTGCTTTTGGTTTTTCTGTCTCCTCCAGGTGGAAGAAGTGAGAGTCGCCACCTGCACGCTGGCAGAGGGCTCTGGGCAGCTGGAGACATGGAAGATGGTTCAGTCGAGCAGGTGTTGGGCTGCTGAGCCCTGACTGTGAGCCTGTGTCCTTTGCTGCTCAGAAACACCTTCTCCATGTTGCTCTGCTTCCTGCCTCCTGTTGTGGTTGATACATTGCATCAAAATGAGAAGTTTAGAAATTTAACTAACAGACTCAGCAGGGAGCCAGGGTTCTTACTTTATAAATATACTCATTCTGTGCAAAAGGAGGGCATGGGTGCCCTAGGGGGTAGGGGTGGCATACATACAATATAAAGAAAGAAAAGAGGCTTGTTCTTACCCACTTTTTGCTCTGGCTGTCTTTTCTGGCTGCTGCCTTGAACTGTTGCCCATGTAGCATGCCACCCTGCCTTGGAGCCTGTTGATTATGGGCTGAAACTTCCACAAACAGTGAACTAAATAAACCTTTCCTTCCTGCATTTTGGGTGTTGGGTATTTTATCTCAGCAAGGAGAGAAAAGTAACCAAGACACCTCTTCTGCCCTGGTCCCAGCAGCTTTCAGGATTCAGGGTGAGGTCCAGGGTTTCTGGTCCCTATGCACGATATAGATGTCCACTGTGCTGGGGAACATCATGGAGGAGAGAGAGACTTGAGACTTTACTGCTGTGTAAAATCTTGGAGATAGATGCTGGATCAAAAGAAAGAGAAGTGTGAGCCTCACTCTCCAGATCCAGGGTACATGGGGGGATGGACCTGGGTCAAGGGCCCAAAGATCTTCCAGTCCAACCTCCACTGCCCTCATTCCCAGAGCCTCCATCAGGAGCAAGCAGCATCTCATGCAACCAGATAAGCTCAGATGGGCAGGTGTTACAGAGCCTGTGCTTCTGTAGAGGAGACAGGGAGAGCAGGGAGAAGGGAGACAAAATTAACAGTGAGTTTTGAGCTAACGTTGCAGTTGGTTAAAAAGTTAGGGTGACCCAGTGGGGTGGCTTCTGGGTCAATTCAGTGCCCCATTTGCTGCCCCCATCCAGATGCATCATGAGAGGAGATGTGCATGGAGATCAGGTCTCAGATCCAAGAATGGGAGACATGGGAGCTGGCTGAGCTGAAACTCCTGTGACTGTCGGCGCTCGACTGGCTCAGCGTCAGCCACAAAGACCCCAGGGCAGACCTGGCCACTAACCTCCCTCAGGATCTCAGCTCCTAGACCACTTGGAGCAGATGCAAGACACCCTCTTGGGAGCTGAGTTGTTGAAGCAAACCTCGGTTGCTGATTGGCCTGACTGGGCCCCTGGGGTAGATGGCCAAGCACAGCCTGCCACGGAGGAGGAGCAGGGATCCTGTGGTGTCTAATGAGGGCTGCATGCACTGGGCGCTGGCTGAGTCTCTGATGAGGCCCACCAGAGGCCAACTGTGAGAGCCTGAGTGTTGGATTCAGATTTTCGCAGACAAAGCCTTGGTGAAAATCCAGCCTTGGGCTCCCCATCTTCAGGGCAGCGTGGATCAGGGAGGTGGAGACAGGAGACCTTAAATTTGGTTTTTTTACAGATACAGATAAATTGACTCCAAACCAGGTATGATTGTTTCTATCTCCCTGTTTTACTAAAACGCACAGTATCAGACTTATGGTTTACAATACCTAATTTTTACATATTAAAAGACGCTGGTTTTGTTCAACAACGGATTTTAGACTTCGCACTGAGCTACATCCCAGTCCTTTTTATATTTTTTTCTTTAAAGTGGCCTTTATTTTAAGAGTGCGGAGAACCCCTCCCCCGACCATTGAGGTCTGGCTTTCTCTCTCCTTTTTGTATTTTTTATTTTGAGCTGGAATCTTGCTAAGTTGGCAGGTTGCCCAGGCTGGGTTGGAACTTGTGATCTTACTGTCTCGGCCTTCCAGAGCGCTGGGATTTGTAAACCTGCACCATTTTCACGCTAACATCTACCCAGGCACCGCCTCTGCGGGGGCACTGTCCGAGGTACTGAAAAGCTGGGTGGACGCCAGTTAAATTCCCTTCTCCGTGGAGCCTCTACCGAAGTAGGAGAGAACTCGGCCAGAGGGCACCCCGCGCAGGCAGGTAGTGGGTCTGAGAGAGGGAATGCGACCTTTGGATGCTGAGGAGGGGTCTTCCCATGCAACGACACGGGGCGAAGATTTGTAGGAAGAGGTCGACGTCAGAGCATCCATAGATGTTGAGCCAGCACGTTCGTGCTGTGGGTACCGGCTCCTCCACCGCAGGATGCAAACAGGGAGCTCGGGGTTCCTGTCACACGTGGCTCCAGCCAGCTGCGGCAAGAGGGAGCGGCGCGTGCTTCCAGATCCCGACTGGACCAAACAGAAGACGCTTTCCAGCCCAGTGAACCCCGAGGCTGCTTTTGGCTGCGGTGCGTGGACGCCAGTGCTCACGGGGAGCTGTCCTCAGGTCTGCACTCGGGCGCATTTATCACGGGCCTGTGCTCCTGATCCGATCAGAACAGACTCTGCTTCACAGTTTTTTTTTTTTTTAAGTTCTGCTAGTCTTTATTGACTCTTTGGTATTATCCATTCTGATCTAAATAAGAATATGAAAAGCCAAAGAGGTTAAAAAAAAAAAAAGTTCAACGTAATTTTACGTACCTGTAAAGACCTGCATGTGTAAGTTTGATTTTGGTTGATTGGTCATCCGTGGACTGTAAATGTCTTCATCTTCACTGTGGCCAGTCTCACTGAAGCGGGGTGTCCACAGCGAACTGGAGCTCTGGCCACCTTTCACCTTTGGGTGCTGGTGTGAACAGTGACTTCCAGCAGGAACCGACCTCCACAATGATTTTGGGCCAGGTCTTCACCACCAAGGAGGGCCAGAAAGGACTCCCCTTGCAACTCAGGGAGCCGGTCAGGGTTTCCTGTCTGCAGCAGGTGAACAGCTGGAGGTTTTCTGTGCAGCCCCAGCTGTTTGGATTTCTGAGGATATCATATCTCAGCTGACCAAGTGTGTGGTCAGTTGGCTGTTCTGAGCATGCAGGAAATGAGCACCCAGGAGGTTTGGACCAGAGTCCTCAGCAGTGGTGTTCTTAACATAGATGACCACAGCTTGTCGGACCTTCTCAGACACTTGTGTATTGCCCAATTCACATTTTGTCCTATCAGGCTAATGCTCATAAACACAGTTCATGAGAAATCATGTCTGATGCTAAGGGTGCTTCAAAGTGATATCACAAATACCATGTATAATACCTTAAGTTTTTCAGCAATGGGGATTTAATCTAGGGCCTTCACACTGAGCTACATCTTTGGCTTTCTTTCTTTCTTTCTTTCTTTCTCTCTCTCTCTCTCTCTCTTTTTTTTTTTTTTTTTTTGAGACAGGGTGTTGGTGTGCAGTTCAGGCTGGCCTCAACCTCACCAAGTAGTTTAGCTGGCCTGGAACTTGCACTGATCCTCCTGCCTCAGCCTCCTAAATTCTGGGATTAGAGGTGTGCACCACCATGCTTGATTTCCAGCTGTTTTAATTTTTTTTTTATTTTCAGAAAAGTTCTCAAAAAAAAATTCCTGGAAGCTGAGGTAGAGGAGAGGGTCTGTATTTGCCCAAGCTGGGCTTGAACTTTCAATTTTTCTGCCTTAGTTTCTCAGTGCTGGAATTATAGACATGTGCCACCACACACATAATACAATGCATTAAAGTAATTAATGCATTAATGTAATATATATGAGTAATGTGATAGGACATATACACTGTAGAAGTGTTGTGTATGTCACGTTTTATATCCCTTATATATGTAATGTATACTTATAATATGTACACTGTTACAGTAACACATTAATTAAATATGATTATATTATATCCTGTCATACATTATTTTGCATTGTATTATGGTTTAAGGATGATTTGGTAGCTTGAACACTGCAATCCTTGGAAGAGTAGCTTGGCAAACGGTTGGGGAGGGAGAAATTCAGTTTGTTACAGTAAGTAGCTGGGATTTAATCCACCATAATCCTCTATGCTCACTAATTAGGCTGGAGCCTGTGTGTGTGTGTGTGTGTGTGTGTGTGTGTGTGTGTGTGTGTATGAGACAGAGCCTCCTGTGAACTGCAGTCTAGTTTGAGAAGTCCTGGGGGGTGGGGAGAGTCTGCATTGCTGTCCAGGTCCGGGGTGCAGCGCGGCTGGCTGTGGTCCCTCTCTGAGCCCTGTGGCTGGCCCTCCCACCAGCGTGGTCCTTTGGTCTCTGGGCTGAGACCCCTGTCCGCAGCCAGGCAAGGCCTGGAGCAGCTGGCCTCTCTCGACCCTATCTCTGCTCAAGTGGCTTCACTTTTGTGTGTGTAGCAAAGCGATGTCGGCAGCTCTGCCTTCGCAAACCCCCAGCCATCTGCGTCTGCTAGCATCTTTAACTTCAAGGGACAGAAACACCATCCAAAGTGACTCTGATGAGGAAGAGATTTACTGCCTCGCATGGTTGGAAATTCTGGGAGCAGGCCTGGCTCTGGCATTCAAAGGATGTTGCTCTGGTTTTTCTCTCTGGTCTCTCGGCTCCACTCGCCTCCAGGGGGCGCGGGTCGCCTTATGCGCTCACGTTAACGACTCTTAATTCTCCTGGACGACCTGCAAGGGCTGGGGGCTGGGGCACCGTGGAGCTCAGGCTGTTGAACTCCACATCAGGGATTCAGCAGGTCTGGGGGAGGTTAAGGGCGGGGGGTGTTTGCATTTTAAGCAGGTCCGCAGAAGATGTTCTGGTGTGGTCAGAAGCCCTCTGGACTGCCCTAGCAGGCCACCCTGACTCACAACACTGACCTCAAGATCTCACATTTGCCTCCTGTGCTATCCATTAGAGGGTCTGGTTTCCTGTCCCCTGAATTTAAGCCCCTGCAGCTCTGGATGCCTCTCCTCGATTAGAATGCAGTAGACTCAATCTTTGCAGATGCCACTGGGTTTGCAGAGAAAAGGTGAAAGTCCCTAATGCCATTTTCATTTATCTGCATACTGTGCCCACAGTCCCTGAGAGCCCAGCCTACCCTGGACAGTACACAGTCACCATCGCGGCCTGTTGCCACCCTCAGCTGTGGCCTGGCTGTGGGTCTCACTCATGTCCCTGGGCATGGCCACCTTCTTCTCCTCTCCTGGCTGTCATGACAGAGAGAAGGGCTACATTTACCCCGTGGGGGCTGGGGGCAGGGGGCTCCTCTTCTCCAAAGAACCTTGAAAGAAGAGCTGGCTGGACATACACTCCTGGGCTCCTCTTTCTTAAGAAGGGTGTCGTGTTTACTGTCACAGCCTGGCTTTCCTCTTAGGCAGATAGATGAGTACTTAAATGCTGTCTCCTGGGGTCAAACGCTAATGTCCCCACATGATACTCTTTCTAACTATTAGAATTTCATTTTGTTCACAATGCCTCCGTGTGAAGAAGCGAGGGCTTCAAAGACCCGGAGTGAAAGGGAAGGTCCTGACACGCAGGGCCAGGGGAGAGAGTTCTTCAGTTTCTTACTGCACACAGCTGGAACCTTGTAGCAGCAGAACCCACTTTCCTGATGTGTGTGTTTGCTTTGACAGCAGGATGTCAGCGCTGGTGATGCCCCAGTCACTGATTGGGGAAGTTCCCTGGATGGCTTCTGTCCCTGCGGCATAGACCCCCATAGTGAGCACTCTCGGTGAAGACTGGATTCCAATCCTGGAGGTGGAAGTGGGGGAGGCAACCAGACTCGTAGTTTGAAGCATCAGAGACTCCCAGATGAGCTCAGCCTTCATCAGTGAGCACCTACTGTCTTTCCCGCAGTACTGAGATTGTGGCTTGTTACGTAGCAATAGCTAACTAATACAGAGAGCAGAACGGCTGGTGGAGACACTGGGAAAGCAGGATAAGATTATATCACCTTCCCAGACTTTCCTCGCAGGTTCTGCTTCAGGATCAGAGATCACCACTCCATGTTTCCAAAACATATGATTCATTTTGCCGCCCTCATTATGATTTGCAGGATAATGATGTCATTAAGTGCTTTTAAAACTTTCACATTAGCTAAGTGATGGGATCAGAACCAACACTTTGGCGAGATTTCAAAACTGAAGGGGATCTGGGAGGCAGGTTCATTTATAATAAAATAACTTGAAGGCTTTGGTTTTCAATTATTAAAATTCTAGTGCCAAAGCTCAGCCATGCAATTTAGTTCTTAGCTATTTTCGATAATATCTCCTCTGTGCTTAACATCTAAACACCCACTCAATCAACAGCGATTGTGGAATCCTCCTCATATGTAGTGTGGCATGTGGAGTGGTGGGGAGAATATAAGGCGTAAAGAGTACTCCTGACTCCTTGGAAATTCATAATTAATAGTAAAAATAAACCACTCAGTAGATAAGTTATTCCTTGGAGTGCTTACAGGGTTCAGCAGGGGATCTTTAGTAACTTTGTTTTTTTATGAATTAGTATAATAGTCTATGTTTATTTCAATAGCTTACAAAGTATAAATAAGCCTAAAAATGAATTGTTAATAACTCTAATACTCAGATCTTTTTTTTTTTTTTTGTCTTTTTCGTTTTTATCGGTACCGGGAATCGAACTCACGACTGCCTGCTTGCAAGGCAGGTGCTTATGCCGCTGAGCTAAATTCCCAGCCCCTCTCAGATCTTTTTTTGATGAATAATTTTTCCAGATACATATTTTTTATTCAGAATTTTTTTTCAGAAGGAAAACAGTATGTGAAGGGTGATCAAAATACAGCAAATATCTAAAAGATACATTGCCATTAGTCCCTCTCAGAACACTCAGAGTTTCCCCCTCACTTTGAATATACTTACCCCGACATTCTTAGCAGTAGATGTTTTACTGCAGTGAGGGTGGTACACACCTGAAGTCCCAGCACTTAGAAGGCTGAGGAGGAGAAGGCCATGAGTTTGAGGCCAGCGTGGCTACATAGTGAGTTCGAGGCCAGCCTGAGCCACATAGTGAGACCCTGTCTCAGAAAACCAAGAAAAATTTTAGAAAATAACCTACACTGTATTTTTCAACCACCCCTTATATTTCTTTTTCCCACCTAATGCAACATGACCATATTTACATGCCAATAATTATTGATCTGTGGAATAATTTTAATGGTTGTAAAGTGTTTGTCTGTAGTAATACACTGTGGCCCATTTTCATGAATCTTCCACCAATAATTATTTAGGTTATTTCCTGATTTTTAAATTCTTAAATATTCAGGTATGAATTTCTACATCAAAGCTGTACTTTTTATGTAAAGCATTTGATACATACAGGAACATGGACTTCCAAAGGTTCTGCTCTAAACACCTTCTCTGGTTAAATGGTCATGTCAAAATTTTGAAGTGTGTAATGCCTGTATCTCTGTCGGTCTCAGAGGCTGTTCTTGTCAAGTTCGTAACGTGGTTCCAACAACCTGATGTAATTACAACTCAGTCAAAATCTTCACGTTTGGTTCTTTCAACTCAGTGTCTGTGAAGTCCTAATTCCCTGTTCAATCTCTGTCCCACAGGAGGAATGGCTATGCCACCTCTGTGCAGAACAAAATCAACAGAAAGACAGAGGTGCTATTGTGTCTCCCTGAGACGTGGACTCCAGCTCCCTCTGCAAGCCCCCTCACCTACAGTCACCAAACCCATGATCATGACTGCTTCAAAAAGTGAGTGTTGATCTCGATCCTGGGACACCCCAAGACTACTGGGAGATTCCATGGGTCCAAAGCCAGCCCCCTATGGGCGAGCCCAGTGCTGCTGTGTTCCAAAGTCCCACTGAGCATGTGACTCTCTGAATCAGTCGTCTTCTGATCTAGAAGGAAGGGGCAGTGCTGCAGACGTGGAACTTGCAAGGTAACTTACACGCTGTTGTGGTTTGATGTGCTTTGTCCCCTGATGGTTCTTGTGTTAGTGCTGGGTCCCTCTCTGGTGATGCTTGGAGTAGTGGGCCCTTCAAGAGCTGACATCTTGGGGAGGTCATTGGGGAGCTTCCCTTGGGAGAGATTAGGGTGGTTCTCACAGGAATCCTAGTTGGTTCTGCCACAGGGTGGTTATGACAGCAGGACCAGCCCCTCCCCAGGCTCTGGTTTTTCTCTCTTGGTGTGGTCTCTCTTTCTTACATATCCTCACACTATGATACTATTGCCATGTGATGATCCAGTCAGAGTGACTCCCTGGGCTGAATCAGTAAGAGTCACTAATTCTAGATTTTCAAGTGTCACAAGTGTGAGCTAAATAAGCCTCTGTGCTTTATAAAGTATCTAGCATCAGATATTTTGTTATAGCAATGGAAATTGAAGAAATAGAGGTGTTGGCTGTATTTCATATAGCATTATTGAATTAGTGCATCCAACAAAGGGCCCTTTCTGCCCTGATCAGATAGATAGCTTTTCTCGTAGTCTCTTTATTTTTTACTTCCTAATAGGCTTCCTTCAATTTCTGGTCCCAAAATCAAAGTAGAATAACTAAACCAAAGATGAAAAACACCAAAAGAAAAGGAGATGGGAAAGCTGAGGGTGACCGCTTCGGTTTCTCCCCTTGTGTGACAAATGATTTCCCAGGGTTCTTTTAAATGAAAATTGCCCTTTCTCATCTGGCTTTGTACATCCCATCTGCGGAACCATACGGTGGGCAGGGACAGGAAATAAACTCCTCCCTTAAATCCCAGCCATGTCTGCCCGAGCAAGTGACTTTATAGCTTGCTTTGGGGAGGAGGAAAATAAAAGCATGAGATAAAGCCCTACCAGGATTATATTCCTCAAAAGCCTGTGATACTATGATGAATAAAAGGCAAAATAGACTTTAAGACAAAAAGCATCAGAAAATGTTAGCTGCTCTTTGTATCATGTGAACAGGTTTCATTTAGCAGGAAGGCGCGGCCACTCCCAACATAGATACAGCAGGCAAAATAACTCTAAACAGATGAGGTGAAAACCAGAGAGAGCTACAGAGGAGATTGATAAATCCATCCTCACAATTGTTTCAATTACGGGTAAGCCAATGGGACAAAAAGTGAGCAGGGATAGGGAGGTTTGCACAAATCACAGCCCGACCTAACGGACCCCACAGCATTCTGCATTCAGGGCAGGAGACATGGAAAATACACGGAGACCCACAGACATTAATCATGGAGTCGCCAGGCCATACCGAAGCCTCAATAAATCTTACAGAGTAGGTTTCACGTGGCCCTTGCTCTCTGATCACACTGCTATTAAGTCAGAAGTTAATACAGAAAGACAAGTTAAACATTGCTCACTGGTCAGGCATTTGAGAACACACTGAAAGAACTCAGGAGCGAGAAGAATGTTAAAGAGTCAGCAGACATGCAGAGGGGCTTCCTTCATGCTGGAAAGAATCCTTTTGTGCTAACCACCTGAATCTTTGATAGAGACTTCATTTTTTGAACAAAACCAAAATGGCTTAGGCTTGTCACGGATTCTCCTGTCTCAGCCTGCAGGTCAACCATTCCTCCGAGGAACAGTGGATCCTTTGAGATAAAAAAGGTATTTAGGTATCAAAGTATGGGCACTTGGGGTGCTTGTCATGGCTATAGCTGTGCACAGGGGGTGCTCTAGGGTGACCTGGCCCCAGGTCTTTCTAGTGGAAACACCTCCCATAAAATCCTGAGTTCATTCTTGTAATTCAAGTTGAAACACCCAGTCTTCAACATTTTAATTTTTTTTTTTATCGGTACCGGGGATCGAACTCATGACCACCTGCTTGCAAGGCAGGTGCTTATGCTGCTGAGCTAAATCCCCAACCCTATCACCATTTTAATTTTAAACTTAGTATGAAACATCTAATCATTCAAGTGAAATATTAAATCCATAAAATAATAAGATCCAGGAATTTCACTTAACTTCCTAAATCTTATATTTGTGTCTTTTTTTTTTTTAATTAGGGAAGATTTTGCTTAACCCGTAATGTATGTCAGGTTGTTTCAGAATAACAGTATCAATATTACTAGTCTGCTAGGCAAAATAAATGTGGTTGAAGACTTCTTAGCTATTTTATGTTATATTTTACTTTATGTTTATGCTCAGATTATGTCCAACTAGGGAAAGGTAGTTGAAGGACTCTATTTAAAGGTGTGTGAAATACTTCTTTTCTTTATGCTGTGACAGTACCAATTGTTATACAGTTACGCCCATTTGTGTTAAATTTTTTAAAATTTACTGACTTAATTTTCTTTGTTTCTTTGCAGTACTGGGACTTGAACTCAATAGCTTTATTTCCACTTCTTCTATTTAAAAAAAATTTTTTTTGAGTCAGGGCTCACTAAGTTGACCAGCTGGAACTTGAGCGTGTCCTCTTGCCTCAGCCTCCGAGAGTGCTGGGATCACAGATGTGTGATATCATGTCTGGTTTGATTTTATTTATAAATGTATTTAAATGAATTACACAGTCTCAGTGTTAAAATTGTAACAAAATACATTCAGGGAAATCAAGATTTCATTCCTGTTCAATTGATTTGTCTTTTCCTAATCCCACAGATAACCATTTGCAAATAGTTTTTGGTTTAGGATATAGAGGAATGCATGTATAGTACAGGGAGAGAGAGAAGAAAAGTAAGAAATGGAGAGAGAGAGAGAGAGAGAGAGAGAGAGAGAGAGAGAGAGAGAGAGAGACACAAAGAGAGAAACAGAGAGAGACAGAGAAAGAAATTCCTTTGTCAGTTTCTCAAAATAGAATACAGCGTGTTGATCAGGACAGACTGTTGTCATGGTCTGTTTTCTGCTGCTATCACAGAACACTGCAGGCTGGGTAATTTATAAAGTAAAGAGGTTTCTTTAGCTCACAGTTCTGAAAGCCCATGAGCATGGTCCTGGCACCTGGGAGGTACCTGGTAAGGGCCTTTTGCTGGTGGGTTCTCTGCAGAGGTGATGCAGGGCCCGGCATGCTGAGAAAGAGTAACTGAAGCCCTCGGATTTCCCTCCTTGTTCTTAGGTATAGCACACTGGGGGCCCCTCCCTCATGGCCTGGCCTGACCCTGGTTACCTCCCAGTGGCCCAGCCCCCAGTCACCATTAACCTATGACTTGGGGATGAAGTTTGCATCACATGAAATTAGGAGACACAATAAAGACACGGCACCTGTGCTGTAGTGCAGATCTAGTGACACCCCTAAACCTCAGGTGCGCACTGCAGCAGAAGCTGGCTTCTCACTCGCACTGCCCGTGGGGCTGCACAGTCGTCTGGGATGCTGGGGTTGGTCTGTCTGGAACATGAAGCTTCAATGTCCCACTGTGACCGCTGGTAGCAGCTTCCTGGTGTCCTGAGCTTCCCGATCCTCCCTCCTCCTTCCCTTTCTGTGTTGTTATCTCAGGTTCTTGTATTTTGTATTAGATCTCTTCATCTAAATTGGTTTCTGTTTTTCTGAGCAAACCCGACAGATACAGCTGGACGCTGTCTCTCGTTTCCCTGATTTGGCATCTTACACATTCCAGATCGATTTGGGAGGCAGTGGAGAATGGCTCGGGTTGGGGGGCACCTCCAGTGTTGCAGACTTTGGAACGAGGAAGAGTTAACATTTGCAGACACAAACAGGTGGCAGAACCATTTTCATTTAAGTGCTCGTTGGCCGTGGTGGCACACACCAGCTAGCCCAGCTACTCAGGAGGCTGAGGCAGGAGGATCACAGGTTTAAGGTCAGTCTGTCTCAAAAGCAAATAAATAAATAAAATTCAGGGGGGCTGGGGATTTAGCTCAGCGGCATAACACCTACCTTGGAAGCAGGCAGTTGTGAGTTCGATCCCTGGTACCAATGAAAAGAAAAAAGACAAAAAAATAAAATTCAGGTACCAGAACAAGTAGAAAACAAATGAAGGGACAGAAGGAATGTTAGAATGGACCATAGTACACAAGGCAACATGGCATTGATTATTTGCAACCCAGAGGGCAGGGAATAGATTATTTAGCGTGTTAGCAAATCGGATGAGCTGCTGTATAAAAAAGACATAAAGTTGGATATCGACTACATTCATTTGTAAAAGTAAATTCTATTGCATCTATGGTTGTATCCATCACCTCCCCTCTCCCTGCTCCTTCATCAGTGGATACTTTGGTCCACTGTGCAACTCGGGGCCAGTGAACAGATCTGCAGTGAACACGGAGTGCAGATGTCTCTTCCACACTCGGCTTTCATTCCCTTTGGAAATATAGAATAGAATACTATTCAGCCTTAAAACAATAACAACGATGACGGCAACAAAAACCAAAGCCCATTGTTTGGAAGAATCTGGTAAATTACTGAATGAACTAAGCCAGGCACGAAAAGACAACACCGCACGACTCATTTGTGCATGGCATACAACAAAGTCGAACTCAGAAGCCGAGCAAAAGCGTGATTATCAGAGCTGGGGTGGGGTGGGGTGGGGCTGGATTGAATCCAGAGAAGATGGCCAAAGTGTGGGGTTGCTGTTGAGCGAAAAGAATACATTCTAGGCATGGTGGCACAGGCTTGTAACCCCAGGGCTCTGGGAGGCTGAGGCAGGAGAATTCCAAGTTTGAGACCAGTCTGGAAAACCTAGTGGGTGTTAGCAAAAAGGAAGAAATAAAAAAAGAAAACACACAAAGAAAAGCAACCAAAATAAACAAACAAACAAAAAACCAAAAGGGTATAATTTCTATAGATCAGATTTATTTCAATAAGCCTGAGAGAGATCACCACTTAGACCAGACCAGTAACTGTCATACTGAGGTATTTTAAAATAGGCTCATGAATGTAACCGGGGCTGTGGAAGGAAAAGGTCTAAGTGGGGCTCTGAGGGAGAAAGTTCAGTAAAAAGGAGCTGTGGTGACCTGCTACAGAAAGCTTGAGAGATGAAGGGGATGGTGGCTGTCTGCCAGGAGCAG